TTCTTTTTCTTTCTTTCTTTCTTTCTTTCTTTCTTTCTTTCTTTCTTTCTTTCTTTCTTTCTTTCTTTCTTTCTTTCTTTCTTTCTTTCTTTCTTTCTATCTTTCTATCATCAATCAATTTATCATTTACCATCTATCGATTAATCATCTATCATCTACTTATCATCATCATCATCATTTATCATCTATCAATCATCTTATCTATCATCTATCTATCATCTGTCTATCTATCTATCAATCATCTATTTTGCTCACTTGTTTAGGAATTGTAAGCTGTTTTCTACTTTTTCTCCCTGATTTTTCTTTCTCCTTTTTTGCTCTCTCCTTTTTTGCCTCATTGCATGGAAACTTTAGGTCATTCTCTTTACATCTGGAAAGCTTTATTCTGTCAATTTAAGAAAATCTGCTTTAGTGTATCTTTTCTACACATGGGTGACCCCTGGGAAAATGATAAAGTCAGTGTTTACCTTCAATGGTTCCTGTCTCACCCTTTCCATCTCTTCTATAGCTCAGGATAAAACTTTCAATTTAATCCACATTTAGGAAAAGGTCCTTTTCCAGCCATTTGCCCTTGAAGGTAAATCTGGGTGAATAGCTTATTTATCGCGCAATGGCTACATTTTAGACCGCATCTTCGACAACGGTATAAAAGACAGTGCCCTTGGAAAGGAACTCCTTGCCCCGGGAGCAGAGAGAAGGGACGGCTCGCTACCGCACTCACCCTGAGAGACGGTCGCTTGGTTGAGTCTGATGTGGTACATCACAGACCGGACCTTCCAGAGCTGCAGCACGGGGTATCCAGACACTTCACTGAAGTTCACCATCCCTAGGGACAGAGGAGACTCGGGCTCAGTGTGTGCAATTGATACACAAGTCCCAGATCTACCAGGTCGGGGAGGAGGCGGAGTGGTAATTGCAAGAAAATGAGAGAACATTCTTCGTTAGAAAGAATTTCTGGAATTACATTAAACACCTATTATTGAATCTTTACTCTGTGCCAGGCATTTTGCTAAGCACTTCGCACATATAAAGTCATTTGATCCTTGTGAGATAGATGTTATTATTTGTGTTTTATAAATGGGGAGACTGAGGCTCAGAGAAGGTGTTTGCAGATGGGTCCGAGGCTATCAGGTAGAGCCAGGGTGGCCTTCCAGACGTGTCTGAGACAGGGCTGGGGTTCTTAACCATTCTACTATAATATTCTCTTAATAGATTGATATGAAGCTCTAGGCTTACTGTAACACACCAGATTTTTACTCTTTGAGAGCTGCAGTAATTGACTCAGCTCATGTACCTGATAACATTGATTTTTCTGTCTCATTTCACTGATTTGTGTTCAGTATTTAAGTTTTAATTACTCTGAAGCTGATAACACTTATTTCTTCTATACCGTGAGGAACAATGTCAAGTTAAGGGGCAGGGATGACCCTATACTGAGTGCCATCTATATGCCAGACATGGTGATAGACACTTTAATTGTGGTCCTCCTTTTATCGATGGGAAAACTGAGGCTCTGAGAAGTCAAGTTACTTATCCCAATAAACACATCCTTGTAGCCTCTTAGCCATGTTAGAATGAGGTGTTCTTATTTGGGCACCTTGGGGAGGCGACGGCACCCTATTGGAATTTTGGCCATTACTATAAATATAAAATGCTATAGAAACCAAATAATTAGGCCACAGGAAGTTAAAAAAAAAACACCTTGCTAAGTTTAGAAAATCAATTTTAGCTTCATTTCTATGCCTAATAGTTGCTATGTGTGTGTAAGTTACAGAAACAAATATATAGAGACATATGCATATGTATATGTGTGTACATATGTACACATGCAAATATAATGGTCATATATATAGTAAATTTAGATATACAAGTAGATAGATAGATAGATAGATAGATAGATAGATAGATAGATATGATGAGTGTACTTGTATAAATATAACGGCAAGAATATATACATCGTAAATTATCCTGCCATTTTGACCCATGCTTTCTTCAAGCTAAATCAACTAATTTAATACCTAAATTAGATGAAGAGTAGGCGGGATTAATTAACTACTTGTCAAGGCTGATCAAATTAGCTGAGCAACTGCCAAATTTCCATTTCCGTGTGAATCATATGGGAATAATTATTGGTAAAGTAAAAAGACAAAAAGGTCGGGAGAGGTGCTCAGTGAATCAATTGCTCACATTTCATCTCAGGCAATCAAAGATAAATTACCTAAGACTAAGAGAAAATTTTCAGTACTTTTTCTTTCAAATGTTCTTCTTTGAGGGCATTAAATTTTTTGACAACAGTCATAGTACTACCTACTCTGGCTTTTAACCTTTATATTAATTTTAAAAGCATATAAATGAAATTCTAACTTTACAAGTTGAACAGTCCAGTCACATACCTCCAAGGCATGTTTCACTAGAGCATAAATGTGCATGCTTTGTAGAATTGTTCTACATAACATGCCTTCTCTAGTTACGACGGCTCATCAGCTTGCTGTTATTTTGAAAAGTCTATTAATAAAAGTAGCAAGACCAATAAATAGAAAATTTTCAATATATTATAAAACGTTCCCTTTAACTGTATTGTCTCCTAGTGGGAAGAGAAATGGGCAGGAATCAGAAGGCTGGGCCACTGGCCATGTTGCCACAGGGCAGTTTCCGACTGCAGGTGGCCTCTCTCTGGCCACCTGGCTGGAAACTCTTTTGGTTCCCAGTCGTTTCATTTGTAAAGTGAGAGGCTTAGCTGAGATGGTCTATTGCTTCCTTTTCAATTCTGTGATTCAAACCAATTTTGAGATTAGGCGGTTCATTTGTTTCAGTTTTCATATCTGAAGAGTGGGGAGAATTGATGCTTTTGTTACAAATTCGCAGCCTCTAGTTTAGAGCAGAGGAAGAAAAAAATGAAGGAAGCGCGGATGTCGAGGAGTAGGAAGGGATGACATTCCCACATGCACCCAGGATGAGCCCGACCACCGAACTGCATAACTTAACCGCTAAACAGCAATTCTACTTCACGCATTTATACTAGAGCACAGTCAAGGAAACAGTTACGTGACTGTAAATGCTTGGGAAGTGCTGTTGTGTGCCCACTTACAGATGATGTTTCCATTATTGAAAAAGAAAGGGATATTTTAAAGTGTGTGTGTGTGTGTGTGTGTGTGTGTGTGTATGCGCATGTGTGTGTAGCAGAGTCATAGAGTTCTTTCTCAATGTGCCCTTGGCATGCAGTCAACTCTAGTTTTTTAAATTTAATTTTATTATTATTCGAAACACATTTCTGAATGACTCTCTTTTCAAACAAAGTATCTCTATGTTTCCTCAAGAACAAACATTATTTTTTTTTCTACTTATGCTTGAAAAGAAAAAAAGACTGAATAAACCTATCTGAGAGAAAGGAAAGAAGGAAGAAAAGAAGGAAGGAAGGAAAGAAAAAAAGGAAAGAAGGAAGGAAGGAAGGAAGGAAGGAAGGAAGGAAGAAAGGAAGGAAGGAAGGAAGGAAGGAAGGGCAGGCAGGCTGGATTTCTTTTGTTATTTATTTGAAATGTCAGGGGGATGATTATCCCCAAAGTTCTGAAGGCAGGAGTCCATTTCCTCTGATGACCTTGAAGAAGTCCCAAAGAGCTCAGAGCTGTCAATCTTCCTACAGATTTCGCGAGTGTGGTACCCAGTAGGCCCATGATTGTGGTCAGCGGCCCCCTCCACCTACTTGGTGCGCCCCTATACTCGCTTCTTTTTCTCAACTAAGAGACTGAAAACATCAATGCACGATGGCCAGACCATGTATAAAAATAGAACCCTGGCCCACGCATGATCTGCAGTAACCAGCTCACAAAACCAACCTATTATCTACAGTAATCAGCCCAAGAAGCTAGTCTAGTATCTAGGAGTCAGATTGGTAGCAACTCAGAACACTATCTACAGCAGCCTGTGCAGGATGCTAAACAGGAACACCTGGAAGAGGTGGCCAGATACAACTAGGACTTGTTTAATAATGGACAGATTCCCAATGTTCGCTCTTGCTTCCAACTTAGGTCCAACCAGAGAAAGTCAAATATGCACACCTGAGCACTTATAGGGAACGCCTCTCCCCTAGTGAGTTGGCCCACCTACCACCAACAGCTCCCATCAGGGGGCACCTGAAGCCTTTCTTTTCCTCCTCCCTGCAGCCTTCTTACTCCTTTGCTTGCCTTTCAGTCTCTGCCGAGATGCAGGTGATGGTGGCTGACTCCCTTGCTATATAGCAAGTGACAAAGAAATGGCTTTTGTTTCCATTTGGTTGGTCTTCATTTGTTTCTACATAGCTTATAACAATTCAAAGGCCAATGAAGCTCAGAGTTCTTAATTTGTAATTTTGATGAACAAGGAAGCAACCAGCAAGATAAATAAAACATACAAATCGATGTTCTTTAGTGTGTTCTTCAAACCAGTAATTCTGAAAGATAGAAATAGCCGTGATACGTAACAGGATTCCCTAGTTACACAGGTTTAGGAATTGCTGCATTAAATAAGTAAAAGGGATTTTTTTACTGCAGGTTTCTGCAACCTGTTTCTATGCTACGATGTTGCAGATTGCCAAGAGGTAGATACTAGAGTCCTTCTAAATATATTTGAAGACAGCACTTATTTATGAGTGGAATGCTGTTTTTTCATTAAAAAAAAATGCTTGGAAATGCTGATATAGAAGATTCTGAAGATCACTTTAGCTCTAAAATCTTCTAAGCTTGTAGGTTTATGGGGATTATGACCTATAATAGCACAAGAGTGAGACATATTATGATATTCTCTGACTCTCAGGAAAGATACAAGTAAAATGTTGCCAGAACTAGAAAGTTAATATGGAAAAAATTGTGTCAATCATCTCTTTAATTGATTCTTCTAGTTATTCTGCACTTTAAACACACAAGACATCAAAGGAAAGTTTTTGGCCTAACGGGTACCACTTTTTAACCAAATTAGGTGAAAAACAAACATTGGCTAGAAAAGTCACAAGTCAGGAAGAGTTCCCTCGATCCTTTTAGGAATGACAGACTTCATTCTCGAAGAACAGAAGTGATCCATGTGGCTCCCCTTCTACTCTCTGGCCTCCAAAAGGCCAAATTAGGCAAGGTCGAGGGCCTGGGGCATAAGACGTTTCTGTTGTGGCTGAGAACAGAGTTTGGTTCTTTCCCTTATTTCTACGGAAGCAGATTCAAACACGTGTTCTTCTGATGTTTCTCAGGTTTGTCCACCCGCTCCTCCCCAGAAAGCTTCAGATAGCATCCAGGACTACTTCGTGTCCTCTCAGCCCAGTGACCAAAGCAAAATCTCCTCACCCCCACAGTAAGTTATCACGTGTGAGGCCTTGGTGGATCTCTGGACAGAAGCCAGGTGGGTTTTCACTGGTGTGCCTCCGCCCCGCCTTATCTGTGTGTGCTGTCTCACACCTCCTTTATGAGGTGTTTTACACTTGCATGGGAAGTGTTTCTCAGCTAAAGATGTGGAAATGAGACAACTGGATTCCTAATGCTGGAGATGTAGGCTTTAGAATGTGCCCCGAGGCTGCATTTTAATTTTTTCAGTTTTATCTCTGTCTCTGTCTCTGTCTCTGTCTCTCTCTCTCTCCCCGCCTGTGTAGTGTTTTAGAAGGGAACTAGTTTTGATGAGATTTATTTCTGGTCCAAAACGTATTTGATTGTTTTCTCTCTTGCTCCTTCTCCTTCTCCTATAGTAACAATAGTATTTGTAGTTTGAATGATCACATTTTCTTTCTTCCTTGGTATATTTATTTATTCAACAAATATGTGTGTGTGTGTGTATATATATATATGTGTGTATATATATATATATTTCAATATATATACATTTCACTAAACACCAGGAACTTTTTTATAAACTTTACAAATATTCACTTATTTATTCCTTATATCAATTCTATAAGGAAGACCGTATTATAATATCCCTTTTTATAAGTAAAACAACTGAGGCACAGAGAAGGCAAGTAACTTGTCCAAGGTCACACAGCCAGTGAAGAGTGAGCCCAGCTGTCAGGCTCCAGAGCCTATGCCATTAACCGCTATGCCACACTACCTTAGGCAGACCTATTTCTAATTCCATCCAGGTCTAGACTAAAGTGTTGAACATAATTTGATGTCTAGAAGAGACTCATCCTCAGCATATTCCCTTTTTAGGCAAAGGAAGGAAGAAGAGAAGAAAGGCGTAGAATAAGGAAGACATAGAACAGGGAAGAGAGAGAAGTAGTGGAGGAATGAACGAAGCCAGCAATGGCTCTGGGCCCATATCCAGCCTTCTAGCACGTGATGCTGGGGGCCCGGCTGGTGGCCTCTTATGGGTCCGTGGAACCCTTTGAAGTGTGTTCTTTGGTCCAGGAGGAGCTAACTGGGGGGTCTTTGGAGGCACAGGAAGGAGAAGCTTCCCTGAGGTTCCTGCCTCTTCCAACCTACACCCTCGGTTCATAAATCGCCCAGGGCAGAACGCCGGGGGGCCGGCCGCGAACAGCACCTGGGGGCAGGTGGTGCTGCCTCTGGCCCTGGGACACTACGCTGCCCAAGCCACACAGCCAAGCTGGGATTCAAAGCAGCAGAGCTGGGATTCAAAGCCAGAGCCACTTGACAAGAAGCTCTAACAGCTTCTATTCCTTCACGCTGCTCCGTAAGTACTTGCCAATGTAGCTATCTGCCTTTTCTCTGCCTCCGCTGTGACCTGGTCGCCTCCTCTAACCCACTGAGAACTCTGAACTCTTACTTCTCTATTATCCCATTTGTTTTCAAGGCATCCAGATGAGACTAGCAGACAAAGGTATTATTATGAGTATTTTGCAGATGATTATATAACAATATTGGCAATTTTACTGACAAATAATCCTACCAACGCTCAGATTTAGGACTGAGCTTTCATTATGTCTTAAAGAAATCACTGGCTCAGACACCACAATAAGTGAGGTCGAGAGTCTTGGTTTTATGAAACCACAGGGAGCCGCTTGGCTTTTGCAGGGTAAGTGAGGGCAGGAGGCATACTCACCGGTCAGGAAGTCAGGGTCAGGAGTGGGCTCCGAGATTTCCTCCAGGCACTGATTCTCCAGGGGGACAGTGGCCACCACAAGGCCATCTGGCAGCTGCTGGTCTAAACCTCGAGCAAAGTTGTTCTGCCTGGAAGGAGAGGCAGACCTTCATTTCTGAGTGTTCAGCTGAACCCCACTCCTTACGAGGCAATCTATAGTTCAACCCACATTGAAAAAATTCTTTCTGGACTGAAAAGTTCTCCTCATCCTGAACCCCACTTGACGGACATGTCTGGAGTAAGACATGGGTGTGAGAGGAAGCGTGAGGGCTGGGGGAGATGAGAAATAAACCCGATAAAAAGGTTTACTCAGAAGATAGAGACCACGCTTCCTTTCCTCCCATCCCAGCCCCGACACCCTGATCCCCTCTCCACAGGGTCTGGGCACATGCAGTCTCATTTCTGGACCACAGAGAAGACTCCAGGCACCACAAGAGGAGTTACAACTCACTGCTTGCCATCGGCAGACAGAGTCCCAGGCTGAAAGGGGAAATAGTAGCAAAGTCTACTGTCTGTAACAGAAAAAGCGATTGACTCCAAGAACTGGCTTGGAAATGAATTATTGGTTTGCTTGTGTTGTGTGTGTGTGGTGGGGGGGCGGGGCTCAGGTTGCTATCAACTGCTGGTCCATATAACATTCATCACCGCCGTCATCATCTCCTAGAAAGCATGAGTTCTAAAGATGTATTCAAATAGCCTAAGATTGAATAGGGACAGTGGTCAAATAAAGAATCTCCTAGAAATATTCTAAATCAATGGTTTGGAATATTTTGTTCTCAGGACCCTTTTATGCTCCCCAAAATAATTGAAGGCCCCGAGTAGCTTTTGTTTATGTGGATTACATCTATCAACATTTACCCTATTAGAAATTGAGGAATTTAAACAAATATTTATTAATTTATCTTAAAATGATGATAATAAACCCATTAAAATTAACATGAAAAATGATGAGGAGTTGCATTATTTTATATTATTTTTACAAAATTTTAAAATGTCTGACTTAATAAGAGACAGCTGAATTCTCACCTCTGCGTTCAACTTATTGCAATATATTGTTTGGGTTAAAGTATATGAAGAAAATCCAGCCTCTCTGTAGCTGGAAAAGGTGGGAACTGGACTATTCCCTGAAAAGATCTCAGTGACTCTCAGGATCCTTGGACTGTACCCGAGGCTGGCTATTCTAGATGGGCTCAGGCACTGATTCTTCTGCTCAGAGAAAAAAATAGAACGTGAGCATTTTGTTGTGGCTTCCAGTCCTTGCCCAGGCAAGATAAAAATTTATGTAATACTTCACTGTTTACCCACAGGAAGCGTGGTTTCCTGGACTCTGGGAGGAGGGAGAAGACCATGGGACAGAACCTAACCTGTCCTTGTAGGATGAAACCACAGGGAGCCGCTTGGCTTTTGCAGGGTAAGTGAGGGCAGAGTAAGTGATGACGTTTGCCTTGCTCCAAGATGTAAAGCTTTGCGCTGAAGAAGATCCGGCAACATCCCTGAATCATCGGTTCTGTGGGTGTGAGGTTTACCTGAATGTTCCTTTCAGCACCTGTCCAGCAGCCACTTCCTTGGAATGGTTGTTATAACCAAAGAACATCTCCCCAAAGAGAGTCTGGTTCATGGGAAGCTCCCTGCCTTCCCCACAGTCGCCTCCCTCGGGGCAGGTCTCCGTGACGAGCTGGCAAGAGCGTCCGTCCACGCCCAGCTTGTAATCCTCAATGCACCTAAGACAATGGAAAACTCAAGAAGTGATTCCATCGACGCGCTACGCAGTCAGCTCAGCCCAGTGGGCTGCGAGGAAACGCTTTGGGGAGGGTGTTGACTGGCTGATGATTATAAATACCCCACTTCGATTTCTGTCTCCTTTGTAACTCAGTTTCTTCAGCCTGTAAACCAAGCCTCCTTCTATAGCATGATCACATAAATGCTTCATAGCTTTGGAGTGTGTTCTTCTCTAAGTATATGATTTCCCAGATAAGTCAGGGTAGGAGTCACTGGAGATAAGCTTGTAAATGAGTTAACACATTTAAATCTAAGATCTCCCAGAGCCTTTTTCCAGAACCATCTACACGGCCAGACCCTGCCTTTGTTTGCAGGATAATAAGGCAGGAAAAAGTGACGCTGGGTTTAAGAAGTTAATAATCTTTTAATCTGGTTCTGTGACAAGTCAACTGAGAAAATTAGAAAGATCGCCCATCTTCCGGCTATGTTCTGTTTGAATGTGTCCAGACACAAGATCAACTAATATTAACTCCCCCTCCGACTGAACTAAGTAGACACTGGGACATCTAGCATCTACTTAGATGCTGGAGCTGCAGCATGAGCAGCTCCCCACTAAGCGCGTACAATTAGTCTAATGGAAGAGCAATACTGATGTTGGTAAATACGGGTCAATGACTCATAAGTCACTAATTGACCTTATTTGCAGTTATGTTGAGAAGACTATAATTTGTGAGTTCAAATAAGAACGACTTTGATAAAGCCGTCGTCTGAAAAGCATATTGATTTAATTTGAGTGGCTCTAGAAATATACAAAATTGAGCATTTATAGATGTTCATGGCA